AACATTGTATATTGTGAAGGACTAGCGTATGTTTAATACACGTGTGTGTGTGTGAAAACTGAAGTTCTAATAACTAAGTTCTAAAGAGAACCTTCCAGTAAAACTAGTAGGTCAAATAGAATCAAAAGAAGCTAACATAAGCTTTAGGGTAGACGTTAAAGCCAGACATTAAGTGGAATATTCAGGTTGAAAGTATGATTAAAGTTTTGACTTAAAAATTTAAAAAAATTGAAATATCTATAGAACAAATTTTCGTTCCCTAAGGACGATATCATCTCCTGCTCTAAATCGAAAAAATCGCAATCTCCAACCAGCCGACTGTCCGCGCCACTTTCCGAGCATGTCGTCTCATCGCGCACTACGGCAAACGTACCGTGTGTCGACAATTTCGCGTTCTTCCGATTCCACTGTACTCGCGAAAATAGAGATCCTCTTTGTGCAATATCAAACCTATACTTTGGCTGCTCCCCAAGAACGAGCCTCGTTCGCACGTCCCTCCACAAACCATCACGACATGCATCCTCTGTCGCGCGTGTCTAATCTAAACGTGAAGTCGTCATGGCGGGGAGCGCAGAAGGCGACGTTGTAATCTAAACAGTACTCGTTAATTCACGAGGGCAGAGTGTTAGCCGACGCGTCACGCGCTTCAGTCCGTGTAATCGGAGCGATTTCCTATTAAAACCACGTGCACGCCCATCAGTCAGCCCGGTCGCTCACGGAGGTGTGCCGAATCGAAGCGCTCCTCCGCCGAGGCGAAGCGTAAAGAAAGCGGAAGAGAAGCTCGATTCGCTCCCGTCCGAGTGCGAATAAAAAGCGACAACGCGATAAAGGAGACGATCCGCGGGCGTGGGCGATTAATTGCGCGATCGCCGTTCGCTCGATCGGATCGATGGATGAATGGAAAAGTCAAACATTGAGGGTCGCGCGCGCGTCTTCGCGCCCTGTGGGAATCCTTCGTTTACCGTGCATAAACGCGTTTTCCGCCGACGCTGTCGCTCGCTCGCAAGAAGCTCGTGCGAAAAGAACGAGTTTGTTGATTCTAGGCACTCGATGAGAAACGCGAGTTCATCGCCACGATCGTCAGCCTCCGCCGCCGTCGAGTGGCAGTTCCGCGTCGTTGCCGACTGTGTTCGCGCGAATTAAGCGATCCTTTCGAAGCAAATCGCCGTGTGACGATGACTCTCGCGTATTCCCGAGACGGCCAAATCATTCGCGAAGCTTTCCTGCCGAGCTTTTTCCCGAGCGGATTGCACGTAGCGACGTGAACAATCGTCCCAGCCGTGCGGGAGATATTGCCCGAGAGAGAGAGAGACAGAGAGAGAGAACACTTTACGCTCTTTCTTCGCGGGGCTCTTTTCACGGGCATGGACACCGCGTACACAGTAGGTTAAAGCATGAAAGAAGACGATCATAATCGAGGCACGAGTGCAAAAGAACGACATACAAAGGGACTCGCTTCCTTGTACTCGGCGACGGCGATACCCGCATCTTCTTCAACCGGACACGCGACGATCGTTGTGAAAGGGCTAAAAAGAAACCGGTCGTTTTGCACAGAACCCACGGGTCGCCGCAAATTCGCGATAACGCCGACCGCGGACAGGCTCTTACAGCGGCGACTTAACACGCGCGACACGTTTCTCTCTCCTTCGATGCAGGACGCGATCGACGACAACAACGACCGGGAGAACGGGGGGATGAACGGGTTGAAGGGGGGAAAAGAAGAAGAAAAAGAAGAAGGAGCGAATTGCCGAGTCGCGGCGGAGGACGTGCGAGACGATGAAAGCGGAAAGGCACGAGCTCGCTCATGGGCAAAGTGTTATGGGAACTTATGGTGTGAAGGCATGTGTTGTTCTCTGGAGGCCGTTGGAGGACATGTCGCGGCTTGCATCGACGATTCACCTGACAAAGGAAAGTGCCGCGGACAGGATGCCCGATGCGTGCGCGTACGCGTGGAATTTTATTTGTTTTATCTCACTTGACCCTCACACCTCGGCATTTTTCCAATCTTGCTCCGTTCAGAGCTCTAATACCGTAATACGTTCCCAACCAGAATTGAGTATTCCGATATTTGAAGCGCTGTAGAGAAATGCTGAATTCGGCTCCCGGTGTTTTTCCCTTTATTTTCATTTCATGAAAACATTTCAACTTATATTTGTATATTTCTCTCTCAGTATCAGGTTATGGTGTCGGGCATTAATCGATGAAAGTGTTGATTGCCAAAACTTTAATCAATCATCACACATGAAATCACGAACAATTTGATTGATTGATGAAATTAGTTATTGATCAAACTTTGATTTAATTGATTATATACACTTATTAATAATTAATTTCATCAATCGATCGAGTTATTCACGATCACATATATGATGATGGATTTGTTTTGATTTTCGTTGATTTACTGATTACCTTAGTCAAAGAAAATTTTAATCGAATTACCCAACACATGATACGGATATGTAATATGAATGTGAAAGAGACAGATTCGCGAGAATAGAGCGATTCGCCTGGACTTTTGAATACTTCTCAGTTGGTGCAACCAAATAGGAACCAACTGAAAATTAAGTGATCAGAAGCGATATCTCTGTTATAAAAACTAATATTTCTGTTGTCGCAACCGAAAATATTTATCTGAACATTCAGCGATATTAGAATTCGGTTGAAGCAACTGAGAACAATTGACTATAACACAGAAACTTCATAAAGGAATTTTTCTGTTCCTACAGACGAGTTTTCGTCTGATCCCTGAACAACCGAATTATTTTTTTCATGCAGTAAGAGGGATGCTGTACGCATCAAGTCTTTCAGTGATAAATTCGTTATGTCGTAAGATGCGTTTGTTTCGAGTGAGCCGCTTTTACACGTCACGCACCAAGAAGACGGAATCGAGCGAGCGAACTCGAACATGATTGGCTCGCGTAGTATCTCCGCTCGTTACTTTTGGCGGCAGCGATAACGACGAACCCCCGGGGAAACCGGTGGTGATGCTCTTCCTCGATTATTCGCATACAAACGACGGAATGAATATCGTCGCCTGAGCGTCCACCGTTTAATGGAGAGGACATTTTGATAAGCCCACGAAAGGGGAAAGGGGGGGAGGGGAATAATGTTCACGAGATACACGTGCGCGCACGCGCGCTGTCTGCCTGCTCTATTCCGAGCGGGAATAAAACCGGTAACCGGCATTTCTCCTCGTCGCGCTCTCGCTTCTCTTCTCTTTTTGGAGAAACGCGAATCGCGCATCGAGATCTGCCGCGATCCTGGCAGTGTCGAGAATCAAGTGTCACGGCATTCATTTCACGCGACGAAAGACTTGCGTCCCGAAAAAGTGCTCGATCATTTTCATGACTCCCCGATGAGACGCCTTACGGCCGTGTGTTCTTCTCTTTTAATTTAATTACACTCAATAAAATCCGACGTCTCTGCCGTTGACCTCGAGCTCACTTGGCCGTGGAGCAGGAGGTAATATCGAAAGCGCGAAGTTACGAACGAATGACTGGAGTAACCCGCATCGTATCCGCTTATTCATCGCGCTGCTACGACGATAAACGCCAATCAACTTGTAGCATCCCGTCAATTAGATCGTACAACGCTTACAACGTCGCAGCGCTTGCGAGTCGCGAGGCGACGCTTTTGGAAAGTGAGCGCACCGGATAAAAACACGCGCCCAAAACCCGAATTTTGCCGTACCGGCGAATCGATCGCGATAACAAACTTTCCAAGGACTAGTTAGCCGAAGTACATTTGCGCGATGTCGCCGACGGAAAAACAGACTCAATTAAACGATCCGCGTCACCCGCCGTTTTCTTTTTTTTGTTTTGTTTTGCTTATCTCTCCTTTACGATGAGTTATACACGCTCGACCGTAATTAGGCACAATGATAGTTATTACGAGTCGTAACTGAATATCAAGCTCAATCGTCGCGGTTAGAAACGGACGTCGCGTCCACTCGAGTAACATCGGAAACGAGATAGTGACTGTGATAATGAGAAGTGTAATAATTAGCGTGTAAATAGCGGCCGAGCCCGTGGGTGTATTTACTGTGTGAACGGCAAGAGGAAATTGATGCGTGTGTTCGATTCCACGTGGAATGGACGTGCGCGCGCGTCATGGCGTGACTGGAATCGCGCGTACGCGAAGGCCGACGCATGAAATAATAGGACTACGACTGTTAGCGAGTAGCGACGGGCTATTGGTATCTGCATTCTCGGCAGAACGGCTCGAAGGCGTGCGCTCTAATTAAAAGATGTCGTCGAGCCGCGAGTAACATGACGGCCGGATTTATCGAGCGTGGCGATGCACGCGCGGTTAACCGAAGGAAATAAGGAAAGATCGACGAACTTGGCTTTTTTACGGTTAACGATTGATCGAGCGGGGCCCGCAGGCTACAGAATGCCGACACAAGGCCAGCACACGAGTTGCACACGAGTAGCACACTTCCATAGTGCTTTTCGTGCGTGGCATTGTGCCTGCGTGCGTGAGTGCGTGCGTGCGTGCGTGCGTGCGTGCGTGCATGCTTGAAGAGGAGAGAAGGAGAGAAAATGGCTTTGGACTGGAGGTAAACGAGCCTGCGGGCCCGCCTATTTACCGACACCCACCGAATGGAATGGATTCGGGGTGGCTGCAGCCTCGGCTCGATGCGGAAGACTCCAAGGGTGCTGAAGCCGGATTGCCCCTCAGGGAAAAGGAAAATGTGGAAAATGTGCGTTATAGAGAGTGACATGCATATATTGACCACGTATTCACGTATTTACAATCATATGTTTATATTCTATGCGAAATCTGCGCGTCAAGTATACACAAGTCGCTCACATGTATTATTTATACTCGATAGATGGCGGCAAACGTTGACAAAGTAATGTTATCGCTCGTTATTATTTATTCTTTCAAACACTTTCCGCAAATGTTGCTCATTATGTTATTCATATGTTGCTTTTTGAATGATTCGCGAGCACTATTTCGCGTGTTTCAAGGCGCGGAGGAGTCGCGAGCCAGTCCTGGGTGGCTACGACACACTCGCGTGGCCCTTGGGCCCTACTGCGATCGGGGGAGCGCCTGCAAACGGACCCTTTTGTAACACGGGAAGATTCCGCTCGCCACGTTCCCACGAGGTGAGGCACCACCTGTGCGTCGGAACGTCGGCCAAGCTGGGCAACCCCGTGGATCGGCCGAAAGGACGCTATGATTTTCGACCCTAATTTCGATCCGGGAAAGAGGAGCTGCCCGCTCAACCCCCACACACGGCTGGCCAAGAAGGGTGTTGTGCCAAACGAGCCGGGGTTAAGCCATGAGCGCGGGCTAGTTGAAGGCTCCGATCCGAGACGCGAGGGTGAGATTGGATTCCGATGCCGTTAGCAGCGAAGAAGAGGCGAGGGATTAAATTTAACGAGTAGAAGCGCAGACTTATCTAGGGCTGTTGTAAGCGCGCCCAGCCGAATCGGAAGTAATCAATTGGGAGAGGCCATTAAGTAGATCCAAGGGCGTTCCGTTTACGCATTTATATTAAAGGAAATAGTGACACAAGAATTTTGCAAAGTATTCCTTTTGAATCTTGGAAAAATATTTGTGCTGGACTTGACTTCCGGCTTGGAGTCGCGTCTTTTGCGAATTTGTTTCCAACGTTCCGTGAACATTTCAGTTCATTTCATCAGGGGAAGGAATAACTTGACACAGTGTCAGATTGTTTCTTTCCCCAACAAAATAAGATGAAATATGTTCACGAAAAATGGAAGCAAATCCACGAAAAATACTCTACTACTCTAACCAGAAAGCCAAATTCAGTATATCACCGTACTGGAAAACTGGTAAAAATTAAAAGTACACATGCTGTAATAAAAAGAACATTTTGCCACTGTTTGTTTCATAATAAACATACAAATGAAACACACAGCCAATATAATCTTTGGGCAAACTTGATCCGGTTTCCCCCACGTAAACAGAGTGAGGCGCTGGATAGAGTCAGAGACGAATCCTAATGCTCATTAAGCGTCGAAGTCTGTCTGGATGACTCTGCACCGTCGCTACGCCTTATTTTCTCCAGACACCGGCCCCTCGTCAACGCGCAAACGACGAGCAGACTAATTAACGAGCATCACCAATTAACGTGCACCCATCGCGGCGTATCACGGGCGTTCCACGTTTCCACGTCAAATAGCGTGCCGGTGGTGTGTTTCTTTCCCTCTTAAGCGCGGCACCTCCTTCTTATTCAAAGGGAAGACCGAGATCTCTCGGTTTCTGGATTATTTCAGATCTCAGTGCCGCCATGGTCGACTCCTCCTCTCTGTTCCAATCTCGATAGGCCGTTCTTTAATCGCTCGAGGGATACTTTTGTACAATATATAAGCTGTAAGAAGCAGGAAGGGTTCTTTTAACGACCACAGCGATAATTGGCTGGAAATATGTCGAGCTATTAAAGCCGTGGACTCACGTCTATATCTCACGACTAATTCCGCACGGATGGACGCTGTCGTCGCGACGCTGAGGGAGATCCACGTTGACACCGTTGCTCGGCTTGACCTCCCGATTCGATGCCGGGGTACCGGGACGGAATTCGAGTACCTGAAGCAGGTGGTTTCGTTGCGACAACGACGACATCAATGCGACACGACTACCGAGAAGTTAACGGTACGCGACGCGATCGCGCAAGACGACGAGAAAAATGCCAACCGTGAAAATTGCGGCTCTTTTTCGCCCGAGCTGCTAACAGTACATCGCCTCGTGGCCGGGCGAGGTCTGAGCACGTGAGTCACATATCGTGTGCGCATCGCGAACTATCGGGCAAACCGGAGGAGCAGCTGGCGCGATTCTCACCTGACGCGCCTTATAATTGCGCCCTGCTAAACGGGTCACGCGGTCACTCAGATATTTATCGAGTTCGCGTGCCATCGGCACGTTTTCGATCTCGTTTTTTCACCCGGCCGGGCTCCTCGCTCCGTCCTGCGTCCTCGTCCCCAGCTCATCGCGAGTAATTAAATTCTTGCGGTAACAGGAAGCCCGGCTAACTGTTTTCCATTGATCGTCCTGATGTCGCGTTCGTCGTTCGTGAGTGCGAGTAATTATTCCTCGCTTCTGCCGTCGGTTCGTCGGTGACTACACCCGAGGTTAAAGGGGAGAAGAGACGGTTGTTTTTAATCGCGGATGAGAACCTACTTCTCCAAGGGCTTCTGAGGATTCCCCCTCTCCGGCATGCCAACTGTTGAGTCGTGCATACTGCGGAAACGAACGTACGATTGATTCGCGCGAGACCCTTCAGGAACGACGAGAGATCACGAGGAACGATCGTCATGACTAGCAGTTTATACTAGCAGTATAGTCCTAATCAGATTGATTCTAATCAGCTATCTGGTTCGTACAAACTGATATATCATCGATCCTATCCTAATTATTAAAAGTTCTTAATCTGTGTACATAATAGAATACCTGTCTGTATATGTTTCTTGTTAACCCTTAAGCCTGATCTACAATATGCTCTTTGCGTTTCTTGTCTTCTATCTTTTTCTGGCTTAAAGCTTAAGGTTTGAGTCAGAAAGAGATAAAGAGAAAGAAGCAGGAAGCAAAGAGCATATTGTAGATCAGGCTTTAACCTCTTTGATCAACCTGAATTAATTTTGCACAGTTACTCTCTTGGAAAATATAGGCAACCGTGAAATCAGACCACCCCGCTTCCTCTCCTTGATTTCACCCCCTTTATGATAATCCGAGAAACACCGCGTAGTTTAAGCTAATTATTAATAATCCTTAGTATTGATAAGATCTTGATCGTCACGCTGCGTTATGTGACTCACCAGGACACGTTGACATCATCTTGTGCGAACCAAACGACTGTGATTGGGATCATGGGATAAATTTGCATAAACCAGATAACTGATTGGGATCAAGCTGATCAGGACTCGCAAGGTAAATTTCTAGTCGGGATGTCATATGAACGCGCTGATCGGCTGAGAAGCGATCGATCTCGCGCGACTTGGCGTCCGAGCCGCGCGCCGGATGTATCGTCGCGAATAACAGCCGTTCCCACACTTTCGGTGCGCAAACGAAAGAGAACGACCCCGACGGCGTCTCATCAGTGTCAGCCGCGGCAACAATAAATCACAGAAACGTCCAACCGGGCGGTTTTACAAGCAACGGCAAGCTGCGGCTGCTCGATCCCGATCTGATTACCGGCGCGGCCGATTTCGAAGTCGTTAAACTCATTTTCTCAGCACCATCCTCGGCGACTTTCACCGGCCAGCCAGATTGAGCGGTAAAGCCTGTCAGGCTTTACGTAAGCCGGACGCGCGCGCTCGCAAGCGGCCGTTCGGCCCCATCCGCACGAGCCCGATTAATCGCCGGCAAGTCCAGCTCGCATCGGCCTTCCGCAAATCGCCGTTGCCGCGCGACGCTGCGCGTGCGACGCTATGTGACGAACACGTTGTAATTTTCCTTGCGTAATTGCTGATCGCTCCTCGATCGCACCTGGCGTGAACATAGAATACGCGACGTAATATAAACGCGAGTGTAATTAATTTCAAAAAACGAACCTGCCATGTTCGTCAAGGCAGGAGAAATTATGGCGCGAAAGATCATGGGCCTTAAGAGCAAAGTCGCAATTTGCTTCGTTGAGATGTGATGCGGCCTCGTCCGCGACGTGTTATCACCTCGTAGGGTGTTATCACTACTCGCGCGCAAACGAGCCGCAACGCCATCTCATTGACGGATTAACGGGCGAAGAAAGTTGTTTGGACACCACTTTGCGCGCATAGCGCGAACTTTCTCCCTCATTCATGCGACTCGTTTCTATGGAGCGCGATTCGAACGTTGTTCTCGAACGGGCGTTTCTGGAATTCCGAGCGATTGTTTGCACTGCGTTAGTCAGTCAGGTGAGATGCCGTCTGCGCCCGGCAGCCACCGCGCAGCACCCGGTGTTATTTTCTCAATTACTCGTATCAGTGTAAACAGTCGCGCCGCGCTTGGAAATTACGCTGCCGACAGACGCGTGACTGACGTTCGCCTAAAGCGACCGAAAGTATCGAAGCGAAAACTAGATAGCCGGAGTCAACAACGTGACGCGCAACTCAAAGTTCCCGAAGCTTGTACTGTGCGCGCGTTAACATCGCAAAAGAAAGTCGACATCGGTAATTAAGCTCGTTTAATCTCACGGTATTCCGCCGCGATAACATCGGCGCGCAAGACGTGCGTGTCGCAGTTGAGTGCAACTTCAACTTTGTAGCGTGATGAAAAACAAGTTATTACCGCGCGCGCGGTAACTCTCGATCCTGCATGGCGCGTGACATTAGCTCGCACCGGTGAGCCGACTTTTAGAGATGAAGAGATGAGAAGTGAGAGAAAAGGACGGGGAGGCAACGGACGAGCGGCGAACGACTGTACACCTCGCGGCCTTAATTACGAACTCAGGTATTCCGAGCGGATTCCGCGGAATGTGTGACCGGCGGGATGCGGGCGATCGAGAGCGTGACAATTTAAAGCGTACTCAGTGCGGCGAGGCACGTGTCGAGATCCTCGGCAGATCAATGTCGGCGCAGTAAATTACCTGTATCGAGTAATTATTTCGAAATTTGTGCGTCTACCACCTTGTGAATGGCTCGGTGAATGTCTCAAAAAGACGGAAAAGTCACGTAACGCTGCCACGAGCGAACGGTGTGCTGGCGTAATGTCGGCGATAATATACGCTATTCGTGTACGACAAGAACGGGAAAGATTACGAAGAGAGAATGATGGAAAGAGATAGGGCCGGAGGGGACAAAGTTTGATTTTACTTTCGGCGGCCTGAATCTTGACCGCGATTGATTAAACACAAAGATTGTATTAGGGTATTAGGGACTTCCCGACCTGGCCCAATGATGTTACCCGGGTAGCTCGTCGCAAACTCACGAGCAAGAATAAGCGAAGTAGCCGCGAAAAGAAGAAGAGAACAACGCCGTCGGCGTCGTAGGGTGCCTGGAAGATGCGGGCAACAATGTAGCCCGTGCTGCGTACAATAGCCTCCACATTATGTGCACAACGCGGCAATGGGGCATCGCTAAGGTTACATTACCGGCTGGTTGCCTCCTCTTCTTACAAAGAGGACTCGCAGTTCGGCGCACACAATGCGATACACCGAGTAGGAGCAGCTAGTGATGGGGTAGAAATGGTATCGAGTTGAAACTCCACTCGTGTGCAAGACGTGAACAATAGCGTGTCGCGACCGCAAAAGCGATATTAAACCAAATTTGCTCGAAGAACGCACGGACAAACACGTAAGCGTTTTTTACGAATGAATTTCTGGCTATTTAAGAAGCGGCCGCGAGAAAGTCGAAATTATGAAACAATTGGAGGAGCGCGTGGTAGACGATGATGTTACGACGATCGATCATCGAACGGATGAAAAGCTACATAAAATCGCATAATACACTGCGTTATACGTCATGCATCACTGTACTCACAGCCGAATTTAAGGCGCAAGAATCGGCGAACACTCGGCTGTAATTTGATTCACCCTTCGTCGGTCGAAGATTCGCACGTTTGCCAGCCCGCGATCGCGTCGATTCCATCGCTGCGCACACAAACCACGAAGTCCGTTGCAGTGCGTGTTTCCACGTGATGGGGTCGGCTTCCAGACCTGAGAACATTCCCACGTTCCGTAGCACGAGCCAAGAGTGTACAACCGGAAGAATTTCGGAGGCGAGGCAACCTATTCTGTGCCGAGCAAGAGAGACGGAGGCGAGACGGGGGGACAAGGGGATAGGGAGCGACGATGACTAGAGAGAGAAGACGAGAGAGTAAGGAGAGGGGGGTAAAAAAGGATACGGCAAAGGATGGGGAGAGAAAAGGCTCGACAACTGCCTTTACTAGCGAGAGAGGAGGAAGGAGAAGCCCGCCAACGGAAGTGTTTCGTGTACCGACGTGCTCCGAATTAGCATCGGCGACCTAACACGTACCTCCTTCCACGCTGAACCGCGCTCGGGGTCGCCGAGGAGGAGTACACAGAGATTTGAGCACACGGGAGGAAGGAGCACGAGGAAGTCGAGAGAGGCGCGAGCGAACGAGCGGAATACTCCGAGGAGGAGGAGGAGGAGGCGGCGGAGGTGGCTGCAGATCCGGTAAATATCGCTGTTGTTGAGAGTGGTGGAATCGAGGATTGTTGCTTTAGCCCGGGGTGACGCATTGCGCTTGTTTATTTTGTAGTAACGCCGCGCTATATGGCAGCTCGGTAATTCATGTTGCTTCACTCTGATACGAATTGATAATAAATTATACGCCGCGATATCGGGGAATGAGCCCGCCGGCTCGACTGCTCCCTGGAACATTACTCCGCGCTTTTCCCCCTTCTCGCGCTCGCGCGGGGTGAAATCGTGTGCCGATTGTTGTTCCATCTTGTACATTTATTACGTTGCGCTTCCGCGTGTTACAGTGCTTATCTACCTCCGAGAGATAATCGATGTTCCCCTTGGAACAAAAGCTGGCCGCGATTATGTTCGCGCGGCTATCGCACGTTGTTTCGCGATTATTTAACACTCGCGCGCGGCGGGCGCGCACACGCCTCTGCAGTTTTGCGAATGTCTATTCTCTTATTAACCCGCGAAGGGGGACCCGCAGCAACGCGGTGGGTTATCCGTCGCACAGATGGTCGTTTTGTGTGCCCGAAGTAAACGCAGGATTAACAGCCTTCCGTCCGCGGGCCCGACGATTATGTTTACCCGCAATCGGAGATACCTCGTTCGGCTTTGTTGGCCGTGACCAACGATCCTAAAACTCCCGACTGGCTAACTCTTTTTCACGGAGAATGGAAAGTTTTATCAGCTCGGAATCAACGGCGAGCTCTTATCTCGCAGCGGGAAGGCCCTCACGGGGACATTACGGCGGATCTCTTTCGACAGTTCTCGTAAAGGACTCGACAAAATTTCACTGGAGTCAATTACCGTGACCGCGTCGTAATCTCAAGCAGATCGGCGATTAAAACGGCTGCATAATGAAAGAAGTAGATTCTTTAACGAACGTAACACACATGTCGTGGCAGTGTCCGGCCGATAGTCTCCGTAGTAGAGGCGAGTTTCGCGTTTAGACCAAAAACTCGTAAATACTCGGCCGACCCACTTGGAACCTTGTTTGGGATATCAGCTTCCAAAAGGGCTAAACACCTCGTTAAGTCCCGCGAGCAAAGCCCGTCCAGGTCGAGGATGGGCGGATCATTAAGATCGTACGTTTATAATTCAAAACATATGGGCTCCCGACCCGCTCGATGGCACGTCTTGAAACCGGTTATCGGAAACTCTCCGGAGGCCAGTCTAATCTCGGACCAATATCCGATGGAATATGCAAAATCCACAATCGGGCAATCGGGTCAGCGCGAATCTTCCGCGAGCAGGAAGAAATCGTAGATATCAATTATACACGAATATTCAGTCGACTGGATAACGGCGCCGGAGGAAATAAAATAAATTAAGTAAATAAACGGACGGAAGATTTGCCGAGATCCTTCTCCCATCTTCAATCGATAAATCGAAACTGTTGGCTACTCGTCTAGACGGGATTTTTTGATGATATAACTTGCATTAATACTTCTCGCACTATTCGTTGATATTTGTCTACGAATATCTTCGTAGAAAACATTGAAAGTGCTCGTTTTAAATACATTAGTCAGAATTTATATAATTCGCGACGATTCGCGAAAACGCAAGAGAAAAAGAGAGAGAAAGAGAAATAGAGGAGGGGGAGGAGTAAGCGCGACATTTATTTCTATTGTTAAGTACAAAGTGGAATGCAAACTGGTCCAGCCGCCGCGACCCGGCATTGCCCGCCAAGCCGTGATTCATTGCGGAGAAGTGCCGGGAGTGCTGCCGACACGCGCGTGCACGTGCACCACGTCGGTGGTAACCGTCGGTGAATCAACAAGTGTGCTTCGAGCGCCGATGCGCAAATCGCCGCTGGCATGTAACGTTTCATTTGGATTCCTATAAATATTATCGACGGAGAAGATGTCGAGAGTGTGTGTCGTCGGCGTGACACATCGCGTTGACATTCCCCCGGACCGTTTGCACCTCGGTTCCGATCGAGTTACGCGCCAAAAGACCGAGTCGCACACCCCGTCGTGCCTTCACGTTTTAATCTCGATTGAAAGATGACGCGCAATTGGCAATTGCGAGTGGAACGAGTGATCCGCGAGTGCACATGAGCGCACGTCGCGCCTCGATTCACATCAGCTTACGCTTCCTCGAAGCGCCGCTCATAGATTTCTTCGCGATAATCCCGTCCCTGTGGCGCGATCACGCTCGCGCGGATCGCGCGGGTCGTCCTCGTGCTGGTCGCGCGTCGTGGCGTGTGCTTCTCTCTCTCTCTCTCTCTCTCTCTCCTCTCTCTCCTCTCTCGCCGCGCGGCGCGTCCAAGGCAGCTTGCAGGTGTGCTCTCGGTAAGGTGTCCCCTCCCCCGCTGTTTGCGCGCAAGGAGGCCCCCCTCCTCGGCAGGCGTCGAGCAGCACAGAACCTGTGTGCAGGCCCCAACAGGCCCCCGATCTGTGGGAACGCTCCGGCCTGCGAGCTTCCCACGATACGCCACGGCTGCTGGCTGGCTGTGCACGCGGACTGCACGGTACAACCGTGCCCCTCGGACCCCTTTTGCACCCCAGTCCCAGCGAGAATCCCAGGCTTGTATGGAGGGGCATAGAACGACGACGAGGTTGGTGGGGCGACCCGTATAAGTAATTGAAAGTACCCCACCAGCGCTCAGAACCGTCACGGACACAGATCCAGACGTAATCTCGGAAGCTCGAGAACAGCTAGCGAGCACACGCTACAAAAAAGACAGAGAAGAGATAGATAAACAGAGAGAGAGAGAGAGAGAGAGAGAGAGAGAGAGAGAGAGAGGGAGAGAGAAAATACAAACGGCGAACGTGAAGTCTTCATTAGCCGGTAGTCATCGCATCTGACAGCAGAGACGGTGTATCCGGGAGGTATCGATAACGCAGGATTCACTGAAGACTACTTCCTGAGCGGGCTCGAGTACGCCTTGTTTTGTGACGAGTGATATACGACGATACAAAGTGTGATCCTCGCATGGCGCCGCACACCAGCTACACGCCGATCAGCGGCATGGAGTACGAGGAGCCGGTATCGCGTACTTATCAGTACCGCAAGGTGATGAAACCGATGTTGGAGCGCAAACGGCGCGCCCGCATCAATCGCTGCCTGGACGAGCTGAAGGATCTGATGGTGACCGCGCTGCAGGCCGAAGGCGAGAACGTGGCCAAGTTGGAGAAGGCGGATATCTTGGAGCTTACGGTGCGTCATCTTCACACACTGCGCGCCGCCAGGAGGCTCACCCTGACCCCGGAGAACAGCTACGCCGATCGATTCCGGGACGGATTCACCCAGTGCGCTCAGGAGGTGTCGACGTTCCTCTCGACGTCGGTCGCCACGGCGGTGCATCCCGCCGCTGGAGCCCAGCTGATGCGACACCTCGGCGGCTGTCTTCGACGTTTGGAGGGTCCGGCTGGCACGTCAGCGTCGACGACCAAGAGCCCGTTGCCGAATGGCCAGAAAAACGCCTCGCAGAACGTCTATTCTCCGCCGCAGAGCCCCGTCAGTGTCGCGAGCTCCTCCGTCGAGTCCACGGATTCCTCCAACGCTGTCTGGAGGCCTTGGCGATGAAGAAGCGGTCAGCGAGACGGGAAACGTCCTGTGGATCTCCGGATAGAAAGTAGGGCGGATGGAAGAGACGCGGCCGCCGAGTCTCGATGGGTTCCCACTGCGATAAAAGAGCCCTCGCCGCAGCACACGCCGTTCACACGCCGTTCACACGCGGAGAAACGACGAATCAATGTCTTCCGAATCTGTTTCGGGCTTTACCTCGTCCCCCCCTCCTTCCCTCCCCCCGAGGACATTGAGGATCTTGCGCTCACTTCGCAATAGAGATCTTATCCCGACTTATTTACTCGATATTGTACATAAGTGATAAAGCTTTAAGTGACGTCTGTGATAGGGTTCCATTTTGTACCTGAACTGACTGTTTTCTTATAAAGTATAACTACTATTATATAGACGTTAATTTGTTATATTAAAGAACTTTTCGCGACACACAATGCCGTTCGCGGCGAAATAAATATACGTTGAGGCAAGCCAGCCGCACGATAATCAATAAATGTCTCGTTTCAACGATTAATCTTGTCGAATCGATCGCCATTCCCGACTCTCACTCTTTTTTTCTCTCTTTCTCTCTCTCTCTCTCTCTCTCTCTCTCTCTCTGTTTCTCTCTCTTTTCTACCTCATAACAAATATGCTTTTTAGATGTAAGAATAGTGCAATTTCAATTAATAGCTATAAAGTCTAGATAACGTAACACGTTTTCAAAATGTTTGACGATATTTTAACGAAAATAATCCGTAATTGCCAAGGTCCTTATACTGCCAATTCTACCATGTACATTACCAAAGAATTATGGGAATTGCAAGAAAAGAGGGCAAGAGCGCGGAATTAAAGTACGTTCAATTAGTCGTGCAACACGATGATGGAATGCCGCCGGTGATCTTTCTCGGTGCTCGCATGAAGCTACAATGTTTGCTGGCGGCTTTAGCAAGCAACACCGCGCGATTATAAGAAATCGGCAAATCGAGAGCCGCTAGTCACCAGCTGTGGCCCGCCGCCCACCACCGCGTCGTGCCCGGAGGTGATGAAAATGACACACATGAATATTAATGCGCCTTACGTGACTGGATGCATCGGCGACAATTTCTTGCGGCCCAAGCTGAAAACGCGATTTAATTAATTTCTCTCGTTCTTCACAGACGACGAAAACGCGATATCGCGTTGCGAAACAGAAAGACGTGATCTCGTCGCGATCGGCTCGACATTAAGTCATCTCTTTTCCTATCGATAAAAACTATAACGAGATCGTAAGAGTCGAGATCGAGGAGTCCACTGCAGGAAGAGGCACCGGTTGATCGAGGGACGCGACGCTTTCACACTTTTTCGCATCCTCCGTGCCGACTCCCGTCGATTCCCCAATGTCGCGTTAATTCGATTTTACGTAAGTGGAGCAGCCGGCCAAAGAATAAACTCTTTCTTCTCCACGGGTCCTGCCTCACTTTTCGATTAATGCATTCCCGCGCTCTCCGTCAGCTCGTCGATCGATAACGAGTATTTAATTGCCGCGCGGCGGTCGACATATTTACTTAACATGCGTTTCAAGGCGGCGAATTAATCGACGAGCCATACTTTTTATATCAGAACCGCGTGCTCGACTGCAACCTGGCTATATTTTGTACCCTATCAATCATCGCCACTATAGCAGGATTTCTGTGTAACATTATTCTGCCATCATTATTGTCGATTGTATATTACTAACGTGTATCACTACAGAAACAAATAATTATTTTATTTTACTTTTTTATTATCTTCACGTCTCTCTCTCTCTCTCTCTCTCTCTCTCTCTCTCTCTCTCTCTTTTTCTCTAATTTTTCAAACTCTCGTTACGCGTTCCTTGAGAAACGCAGAAGATTACTATTTCGTGAGAAGACTTTTTTGCAATCGGCGATAAAGATTAGCGCTTCGCGCGAGTCGTTACGTCGATAGCTAGAAGATTGTGGCAAATCACGAATTTCAGGAAAAACAGCGATTGACAAGTGAAATTAGCGTTGTTTCTAGGGTGAGGGGCCATAAATTGCGCGGCAATTTGACCTTTCCTTTTTCTTCCTCTCTTCCTCTTCTTTCTTCCCCGTCTCCTTTCCTATTACTTTTTTTGTTTCGCTTCGACGGCACTACCCCTTTGAAAATGCTGTCACAAAAAATATCAATCGCGTCGCATGCAAACGGAAATGATCCCGACGCGTAACAGCTTCTCATTCAAGCGCAATGCACGATTGACAGGCGCGCGCTATACTCGCGTGCGAGAGATTGCGTCCGCAATTATCGGAATATAACCTCGCCGGGCGTTGACTCGCGAGCGTTTAAATTTAACAACAAAGTCGTGGCGCTATCATAAAAGACATCAACGATCGACATCCACCGGTAGTGACTCTCAAATTCGTATTATTAACGCGAGAAACTCGAAAATGACTTGATCGTTCCTGGAGATGCGTAGAGAAAAAAATATATAAAGACCTTATAATATATAAGAGACCTCCTGTCGTTTTGACATTCATTGTAATAATCTGCGAATTGATTTGCCTGTTCCAGGTGCTGACGGTCGCGTCGTCATAATGCTGACAGCTGCCGACGTTTAAACAATACGACAAACCGGTGCGTACTTTCCCTCTTCCTCTCGAAAATCTTTGCAGCGTCGGGCGCGTGCACTCACGCGCGTTCTTCACCTGCTTATCGGTGCGATAACGGGTGCGTCTGCGGATCGGCTACTGATCCACAGACGGATCAATTTCTGTTTCAACCGTGCCATTGTCGGGCACAAATCGCTCAGCGACGCGATACTTTCGTGCGACGCAGGTTGATTTACTTTCGACGCAAGTTCAGATAGGACGCGGCGATAAGCCGACCGGGAAACTCTTGCTCGCGCAAAAAGTTTGGTCCGGCTTGACTGGGTAGCCAGCGGCGAAATGAAATTTTAGTCGGCTTGAACGCGTCGGCTCAATCCACTTGGCCCGCGGATAATAAGTAAATCGATTATCCGCAGCTGCCCGTCTCGCGTTACTCACGACAGATAAGGATCGATGTCTCCACGGTGCCCCTTAATTATACCTCCCCGGGCAAATTTGTCACATTTTATAAACGCCTGACGGAAAAATTCCCACGGTACCAGAATCGATCTTTAATAACAATGTTATAAACACGAGAACACGATAATTACATCGCGTCGGGCCGGGCCGAAGCAAACTTCTTGACAGGCCGTGACACATGTTTATTGCGACGCGAGTGACACCGTCTCTCCAGTTCCGCGTCTCGCGAACGCTGACGGTCTGTCTTTCTTCATATAATGAATGAAATTAGCAAACATATGTCGCTGTCTTCATTTTCGTAAAACGATGAACGACATTTTTTCAAGGGTGAGGTCCACGATGTACGCGCAGAAAGTGGGACACCGGGGTTCCACAGAGACGCGGTAGAGACGCAGAGGAAGCAGCGCGTTACGACCAAGTTTTCATCCCGTGTGTGTTACAGACCACCCGAAATGGACGTAATCGCGTACAACCACCACGAGATCTGCAGTGTCGCGAGCAGCATCGATGACGGCGACAACGAGAATCAGTACGATGATCAGTACGAAGATTTATTGTCGATTGACGATCTTGACGGCGGCAACGGCGGCGGCGGTGACAAGCGGAGCAAGCTACCGTTGCGGAAGAGCCTGTTCGACAACGTGCCGCCCTACATTGCCTTCCAATCGTACGACTGCAAGGGTCCGGTTCTACCTTGCGCAATAACGAGACACTTGAAGTGGCACCTCAGCAGAATTACACCGACATTGGTGCGTCGGACCCTAGTGAATTCGGGCTATCGCCTCATGAAAAAGTGTAAAAACTGGTGCGGCACCTGGGGCAAGCACATGAAGTCGGCCTGCTACAAGGGACTGAAGGACTCCCAGAAAGTCAATCATTTCCCCGGGACGTTCCAGATCGGCCGGAAAGACCGACTGTGGCGCAACCTCAGCCGGATGATGCTAAAGCACAGCAAACGGGAGTTCGGCTTCGTGCCGCGCACGTATGTGCTACCTCAAGATCTACGCTCCTTCCGTCAGGTGTGGGAGAAGACAGGCGGCAAGGAGAAGTGGATCGTCAAGCCGCCGGCGTCCGCACGCGGCACTGGAATCCGCGTGGTGCATCGCTGGTCCCAGATACCAAAGAAACGCCCCGTCGTCGTCCAGCAGTATCTGTCGAGGCCGATGCTGATACGCGGCGCCAAATTCGATCTGCGCCTCTACGTGCTCGTCACCAGCTTCAATCCCCTTAGGATCTACATGTATCCGGACGGCCTGGCGCGCTTCGCCTCCGTCAAGTACAACGAGGACATCAACTACCTTAGCGACCGTTTCATGCATCTCACCAACTACAGCATCAATAAGAGTAGCGCGACGTACACCAGCAACAACTGCGCGGACTCCTGCACGGGCCACAAGTGGACCCTGAGGACCTTGTGGTCCTACCTCGAGCAGGAGCACGTGAACATCGCCAAACTGTGGGCGTCGATCAATGACATGGTTGTGAAAACGATGATAGCCGGCGAGTCTTCCATCAACAGTCTAACGAGGGCCAACGTCACCTCGAGGTGAGAAATATCTTTTTTTTTTCGAAACACAAAGAACACACTAATATAAATTGCTGATGTTAGATGCATATATTTTCAACAAAAATTTTATTAATATACACAAGTACAATTAGAGTAACGTTAGAACGTTCCAATGGTTCCAATTAATCGCGAAATAAGGTACATCTTCTAATGATTGAACTAGTAAAAAACACGATAAGTTTTATATTTTTAATAATCCATGGAATTACTATGAAAACTAACGTTTACATAAAACTTTGATTTGTCAGCGATCGAAAAATAATAGGAAATAAAATAACCAATAATATAGAGTCTGTGATTGAATAATCATTAAATAATATTACAAATTGTAACATAAAAAAATATTTTTTAAGAAAATGGATCCTTTTAAAAAATACTAAATACAAATATATCACATACAAATATATCACATTAATATCAATATAATATCAAGAAAATGGATCCTTTTAAAAAAAAATACTAAATACAAATATATTACATATATCATACAAATATATCACATTAATATCAATCAATGGAGCAAAGTTCAATTATCAGGACATTTACCTTAATAAAAGTTTTTCTTTCATTTTTCATTTTTTCATTTTGTTCACACACATAATTACAAATATCATACATATAATTGCATGAATAACAAAACGTTCAAACTGTTGTTCATACATATTGTCTCTCTTCTTCAGTCTCAATTTTGTAGAATTTGAGAATGAATACACACATGTACACAATCCACGTTTGGCGAACCGTCGATCGTGTTTCTGATATACGTGTTTTACGAAACCTCAAGGTACTGTTGCTATGAACTTTTCGGAGTCGATATTCTCCTCGACGAGAACCTGAAGCCGTGGTTACTCGAGGTGAATATATCGCCCTCTCTACAGTCTTCCTCACCGCTCGACGTCGCCGTCAAGGGGCCCCTCATTAGGAACGTCTTCAATATAGCTGGATATCAGCTGCCCGCGTGCATACCGATCGAAGAGATGGAGAAACTGGCCGAAAGGTATCAGCTGGACCCGACGTCGGTTAGCCAAGACTACAGGCTACATCGGACCGCTCTTAGCTACCAAGAGCGGCACAAGCAGTCCATGTACGCGAACCTGAGGAATCGAGAGGACTACCTCCACGACATAATCGACGATCTCACGCCCGACGATGTCAGGCACTTAATTACTTACGAGGATGAGCTGACGCAGCTGGACAGGTTCGAGAAGATTTTCCCTACCACCGACACCCACCGGTACTCGCAGTACTTCGACGTTCCGAGGTACTACAACATGCTGTTAGACGCGTGGGAGGCCAAGTACGGCGACGGCAATCGGGAGGAAGGGATCTCCCGATTGCAGAAACTGTGCAAGACCAAGTACCACTTGGAGCAACAAGTGGTTTTTTAGATAGTCATTCGTGTTCCACAGGACCTTCCAGTCCGGAAAGATCTCGCGCGTCCGCCTTTGATAATAAACAACTCCCGTGGATACTCGATGGTATCGACATCAAAGAGACGCGCAGCCGCGATATTGTGTGTGGAAACATTTTATTTTATTATACACTGCGCCCGCGCCTGCACGTGTATGTACATGCATGCGTGCGTGCATTCTGATGTATACGGGTATTATACGTACCATTTCGTCCGCCTCGACTCGTTTCGGGGCAAAAGTTCATTATGTGCCTTTTTCTCACGGTTGTGCGAACTCAATTTATTATAGAAAATTTTCTCTTTAATAAAACATTTTTGGTAACGCGCTCTCTTATCACGGGACATCACCGATATCGTCTCCATCCTCCGTCCTCTTTGCCTTGACACCACTTCATTCACAGGATCGTCGCATCTCGCTTCGTGCTTGAATCGCTCCTCGCATCTTGAACCACTCCTCGATCTTTTATCGAGGCCACAGTGAAGATGATCTCGTAAATTCGAATTTTAGACTTCAAGCACGTAAAATCAGGTAGGTGGAAAATTATATAAAAACTTCTTCGAACGATGGAGTAATCGCTCGTTGTCGACGAAATAACGGGCCGCTATCGCGCGGCTACGTTGAGAGAAAAAATATCTAAGAAATAGTAAATATTTATTTAGTGTTTGCACTATATATAATAATATATTTGCTTATACTTATACAGTATATTTTTCAACTAGAAATACACATTTTTTTAAAACCTCAAGAAAACCTTAGCCTTTCATGACAATTTTCTGTTCTATTTAAGTAAAAGAATGCAGATATTAATATGCTGTTAGAATACTCATCAAATAGATATTTACTTGGTGATTTCCTCTCTCAGTATACTGACTGTGCTGAATTGCCGACGAGTCATCGTACCCAGAACGCGATGAGGCTGTTCACGCGCACGTCGAAATGAATATCGAACGAGCCTAATGGCTTATGAGACGGACTGGCCGTCAGCGGAGACGATGATAAAAAAGTCAGAGCTGCCGATGCGCAAAAGAGACTCTTTGCTAATGCACCGTCGTGCCGTGCATAATTTTCGGCAACAAGAGCACATGAAGAAGAACGTCGCTCCGCAAAATCAGCGACGAGCACCTGCTCCAGTGATGGTGGCGCATCGAAAGGGAGACTCGCCACGTTTCCCGTTTTCTCTCTCTCTCTCTCTCTCTCTCTCTCTCTCTCTCTCTCTCTCCCTCTCTCTCTATCTCTCTGTCTCTCTTTCAGGAGCGCGATACCTTCACGACATACCTCGCGCGTACCCGATATGTATCTGTGACTGTCCGAGATCTCGGTGGGTTTAATAAATCCGTACTGACAATTTAATGTCTCTATTGCGATCGCGGACGGTCGGCGGTACCGCGACAACTGCGCTTGATTAGGTTAATACGAAAGGGGACCAGATTTCTTCGCTTCCGCCCTTTAAATTCAATTACCGACGGTCACTCTGCCACTTAAAACATCATATATCAGTTTTGTCTGGAGGAAGTACGATCCGTGATGAAGTGACCGAGGCAATTGCCTTCGGAAGCGATGCGCCAGACAGACCACTTTGATTCGTTGAGATTTTCGGTCTCGTTAAACTATAATTACGCTCGTGTCGCGTCGCGATGATTAACCCTTGACATACCGTGGATGGACGTGCACGTGGACGTGCCGCAGCGGAAACGGCTCTTCGTAAATAATAAGTGATTTCCCGAGTGGAAGTTTCGCTTTCACATTAACTCGACAAATTTCGATCCGGGCATTTCCCACATGTATTGCGACCCTCCTGATAATTCGGGTCACCTCGAAGATCCGGAATGTTTTGGTAAGGCGTTATTGATCGGCGGGCGACGACGGTTTTTCCAAAACCGTCACGCCGATCAATAACGCCGATGTGTTTTGGAAATTTCGGGTGTTGTTTACTTTTTCGCGACAGAGTCATTACGTCTCGGGTCGACAAGCAGCGCACATACCGCATCTGTTAACACGCCGCGTTGGTTGAATCGTGTATCTACGCGAGTATTAATGTGTATGTCACCGCTGATGTTAATACTAGTGAATATCCGGAACTCACAAGAAGACAGGAACACGACATCGGGAAGCCAGGAGGACACGGAACGCCTGGAAGCTGGCTGCTGTTCATGCATCATATATTTCCAGGTGTGTCAAGTCACTTGTAGTAGTAAGAATTAAGATAATTAGTAAGAATTAAGATTTCGAATTTAGCACAAATCCCGATTTGTACCGATTGTATATCTAATAATGCTTGCGTCATCTTGAACTGCCAACGTTTTTTTCTCACGTGTGTTGATTTTTGTTTATTGTATCGAATCCAAATTCAATCCTGTGTATTGGCGTGCAGCATTATTGGACACGCAACTCTTCGTTTGTCGCCCTTCTTGAGTTTTCAAATCATGAACTTTTAACATCAACCCATTCCAAAAGAAAGAAAAAGTATATAACAATAAAGAAATTAGGTAAAAAGAAATTTCGTCGTTCGCGATTTGCCTATTAATTTATATTATTTATCATTTTAATATTTGCTTTTTTGAAAATGTCTGACAATAAGCTTGTAGCATGAAGGTAAGGCAACAATTTACATTGCGGAACAAATTTTAATTCTAATTATAACATTAGACATATTTATCATAACTCTCATGAAATCTTATTCGGTTCATTCGCCATCGATTTTGCAGAAGAAAATTTCTTGGAGAAGATAATTAGGGATCTTATAATAATTAATAAGAGATACAATCGCCGGTTAAGAATAGACGCCATCGATATCGATCATAGACTCTCGAGCTGCCAATTTCGGAGGCGAAATAATTCGAGGGCGATTTACACGGTACACCGAGTAGCCTGTTGTCGTTTGAAGACAATGGGCTCGCTCGGTGCCACGACGGTCAATGAATTGATATCGTTATTGTAACAACATAATAGACATATTTTCTTATTGAGATTGCAGCCTTACGTGTGTGTGACGCGCGCGCCGTTGTGTGCGCTGCCGGGCCGTCTTTATTCATTCATGTATTCATTCATGCGAGCTCTGCCGCGTGTGCGTTATGTAAGCAATACAACGCCGACACGTAAAGGCTAAGGACCTCGTTTTCTACGTGAGGACAGATCTCAAGGAGACCGCCAGCTACCACTGCTATACGGCGACAGGTAGTTACGCGAACGTTCTTTCTCGTTTTTATCGTCGACTATAACGAGTCTTTGAGTTCACATTTCTGTCGACTTTTGTCGACACAATTTCTTCAATTCCCTGAGAAAAAAAACAAGTTAGCACGCGTGTCAGCCTCTCTCTCTCTCTTTCTCTCTCTCTCTCTCTCTCTCTTGCTCGCTCTCTCGCTCTTATCTGAATGATCGAATAAAAATCGCTATACGATCTCACTTGTGATCGTTTAGACGCGAAGCGCGCTTATTATCATGCAAATTTATCATTGATTACGTTCGGCAAAAAAAAACAGCTTCATCAGTGCTTTGCGCTGCCAGTAGCTTTGCAACTATTATAAGATTTTCAGATGAACGTAACCATTATCATCACGGGTTAACGTCGATCAGATTCGCACTCGAGTCCCATTCGAGCGGACGTTACTGCAGGCGGGAAATTCGCGTGCGCGCACGAGGACGTACTCGAGCCTTGGTAACGACTTAATAAAGCGAGGAGGCTGGTTGGCGGTGGCGGTGGTGGCGGCGGCGGATGCGAGCACGTGGAGCAGCGCGGAGGCGTCGCGGTAGTCAGGTGCGCGTCGCGTGCTCCTCATCCCCCTCACGTAGCTAGCTCGTGCTTTGTTTTGAGAAGGCTCGAGAGTGGCCGTTCCCACGCTTCCGCGCGTTCTCTCGTACCCGCTGCGCCTTGTGTGTCAAAATTCGTATTCGAGATACGGTAAAGTCCCAATTATATACGTTCCGAACGTACGCCTGAAATTTCGATCGCGACGTACGATTTATTTCCCGGCCGACGATGGCGGCAATCTAATCACGCACCGGGCCTAGAACGATTTGGATATCCGTCGATCTCTTCCTCTTGAGAGAGAGAGAGAGAGAACTCCGTGAAATATGTAATTCCGATAACGTTCCATTGCTCGTTATACTAAATGAATTAACGATAATATTCCCGCGCAAACGCCCTTCTCGCGCTTCTCAACTCTTGTTGATTTAACATGTTGATTGCCACGCTGATTTCCACTGATTATTTCAGTGCTCAACACAGATTTGGATCATTAAAGATGCGGCAAATAAATACAATGCAAATATTTCTCTATCAGCTCTGCAATTTTATTTGCTACACGTAATTGGTTTATACGCTTTATACATAAATTAATGAAACGCGGCAATACTGTGGGCTACTGGAGACCACCATGGCAGTTAACGTGTTAATTGCGTATCATTTGACATGTCGAATTGAGAATGATTGTGAGGTAGATTGGAAATGTGTAAGGTTGATTGGTTAGCCTCGATAAAGCTCTGCACATCGTCAACACCGCCGCACAATTAATGCACCGGAGTGCAACAGCACGGTTTGTAGGCATGACTGCACACGCGAGTAGCGCACGCCGCGCTCGTGCGACGCACGGCACGCTCTCCTTCGCCCGTACATATAGATTGAACCATTGTTTCAGCATTGCGATAATCTCGGTCGTGACTCCTTGCCCGTCGCGGAGACGTTCTCCGTTGCTCGAGAGTTCTCTCGCTCTGGCTCACACATGTGACATGCACGCGCGATTACGAGCCGCGCGAGTCGCGGACGCTCCTTCGAATCGCGATGGACTTCCCACATACTTTCACGCCGCGTCTACGCTCGTAAACCGCCGCCACCTTCTCTGCCTGACCGACGAATATTGTCACGCAGCCCATTCCCATGCCCATGGATAAGACACCAGCGCGTGCACCGAGCGCGCGCTGACGCAACGCCGCCAATTTCGCCGTTTTACCACGATCACCACTCCGCCATTCGTCCGGGAAATCGCCGCGGACCATTCTGTATTTGTCGTTTCCTTTCCACGTAATAGCGCAAAACAGAGACTTCATTTGTTCCTGTGCGAACGTAGAGTGAAAAATTATCGCGCGGTCACACATGCGTGACGTCAGTCCCTGAGAATCGATGCGTCACACACGTGTGTGGTGGCGAACAGTTGCTCGATTTCCAGCGCAATTAATACGATTTTCGTGGAGGACCTATTAAAAAATCAGGTTGCATCAAATCTCGAGAATCCTATGGGCTAGGCCCGCGATAAACACCGGGTGTCGCTGTAATTTCGAGGCGAACGGTCCCTTCCGTTCGCAATCAGGGGCACCGTGATATCGGA